TACAGTAGAACCTCGATTATCCGGACTAATTGGGGATGAAGGTAGTCCGGATAAGGAAAAATCCGGATAATCGAAACAGATACTTTAATTTGTCTTTTAATGATAATACAACACGTTTTCTTTTCGATGACATATCGGTAATATTAAAAATAAATACTGTATTTAAACCGTGATCAAATTTTCAAGAAACAAACATTCGTATTGAATTTGAACTACTACTGACCAACGCTAACAGACTACCTATTGTTTGAAAGGCCCTCTGGTGGCGCAAGAAGACGGATTTTATAAAATAAAAAGCAGTTGAAAATGCATTTTTATGAATAAAAATTTTACAAACTATTTATCGTTTTACGACGAGTAAAATTTTTTGTCGCGTTCACGGCTTTTAATTAAGTAATGCATAAACCTTTGAGGCGCGAGGCCCTTTGGACTGAGAGGCATAGGCGGTGGCCCACGTCATCCATGCCTTACGCTGCCCTTGGTCATAGAAATGATGTAATTTGAATATAAATTATTTATAAATACGTATGTCAAGTTATATTTTTATTACTACGTAAAATATATTTAAGAGTTTACGACCACTGTGCTGGGTGAGACGTTGTTGAAAGAAACAAAGTTATGCATTCCATCACGTACATAAACAGTATCGTAATTCGCCAAGTGCAAATTAGCAAATTCGTAAAATTTTTGTTTATTTTGAACAATCCGGATAATGGAGGTTTGGATAATGGAGGTTCTACTGTACTACAAAATTTTGCTCAAATTATTTTTCATCAGTCTGAATAAAGTGATTATCAGTATCACAAAATTGTATATTCATTTAAATCTTATTAAATTTCATAAAATAAAGCCTAATTCAAAGTAAAAAAAATTATATTTGTGATGAAAATATACTAATATAATTGTTTTTTTAATCATTAAAGTAATTAATAATACAATTTTAACTTCCATGTTTAGATAAACAGCATTTACACTAATTCCCTCCTTAGTTAAACATAAGAACAGTTCTTATTAGTCCTTAGTAGTTTTGAGCTTTCCCTGCTCTCATTTTCAGGGTATGTATATCTTTACAGATGAGCTGAGGAAGCTTTGAAAGTATGAGGGACTAATAAAAATGGTTTATCTGCTCCAATAAAGCAGGAATTAGTGTAATTTTATAAATAATATTAAAAAAGAAAATATTATATACATTATCACAGTATCGCATGTGTGAACACACATTACAGTATATACATAATTAGTTATGTCCAAATCACATTATGTCCTGTTTCACAGAATGTATCACAGATGTTAGCATGCATGATTGTGTATGAATTTATAAATATTAAAATTAGAAGATTTGAGATTATTGACAAAATTTATTTTATATTTCTTATACTAAAATTGATAAACCACTTTTATCATCATCATTTCCGAAATTTTTATAATGTCTCATTTACAATTAATTATAATTCCATTAAAGAATGCATAATAAGGAATAACAAAATGAACAGAATAATAATAAAATTACAGGTGACCAAATGAAAGCAGGATGGTGGCAGTGCCATGAGTTTCTAGTATCTGACTAACACATGCAACACTGACTCCCAGTTGTAGTGTTAAGGAGCTGTCTATAAATTATATCCACATTTTTTTTTAGACATTTACTCCCCATCTCCCCTTGTCCCAATTTGTCCAAGTTTCTGTAAATTCCTTGCCTCTTCAGACATCTAACAAAAGTCAACCCCAAATCTTTATCAGTTTGTGAATGATACATGCTACAAGTAGAAATGAAACATACAAAAAGTTCGAAATAAATATAATAAAATGTGCAAACTGTATAAAATTTAATGAAATAAAACGGATTTCCACTGAAACTTGAGCCCTTCCCTCCCCCTTTTCCGACTTTGTCCAACTTGTCATAAGCCTCTCCCTCCCTCCCTCCCTCCCAGTGTGGACATCATTTATGGACAGCCCTAAGTGTCATGATAAATGGAAACTTACACTTCAGAACAAAGAATTTTCATAATAGATTGTTTTAATTTCTAGTAACTTTTCCTATTTTTGAAGTTGTTTTATTCAAAAATATGTCAAATCATTTGTACCTACAATTTGTTTCAAAATTTCTTAAGTGACAGTCTATAGGGTTTGCATGTAACCATGGCTGTGGAGTCGGAGTCGTGGAGTTTTGGTGTTTTAGCCGAAATCGGAGTTGTCAAAAAATCCGCTGGCTCCGACTCCTTTTTACTTCCCAACTTGTTATGTATATAAAATAGAAAAGTATTGGAATCGTGTCAAATTTGACCCTCCAAGTTTTTTTTTGTTTGCAAATCTACATGTTTGGAGACCTCCCGAACTTCTCAAAAAAGACAATAAAAGAGGAAAATTCATGTGTTGGCATCTAATTTGTTTAATTTCTTTATTTTCTGTTCTGAGATATTAAACAGTATCTCAGAATGGGTAAAGTTCAAGAAATGAAATGTGGCGCTGTAGCTTGCATATAAAGGGGCATTAATACTATTAAATTTTGGTTCTTAATTAAAGATCGATAGGGTGAAGACATAAAAGTGGTCATGTGTCATATCTCTTAATGAATATTTTACTCGTCATTAGCATTCAAAATTTTAAAAAAATATAAAATAAAACTCATCTCTACCCTTAAAGTAAGCTTATTTTGGCATTTTATAATAGTACAGTAAAACCCGTTAAGATGTTCTTGCCTAAGATGTTAGAATGTATATGGGGACATTATTTAGTTCAACCACTTTGACCAGTAGCATAGCGTAGTGGGGCGGCAGGGGCGGCCCGCCCCGGGTGGCACTTTTAGGGGACGGCAAAATTTCACAAGAAATAATAATAATATCTTGTAAAAATTTGAACCATTTCATTTCATATTTCTGTCGCACCTACGATTCGGACCGATTGAAATGAGCATGGAATTTTTTATTACTTATTCTGTGACAAAACTGAATTTTAGTCTTTTAAATTGAGATACCTAAATAAGGGGGCGGCGAAATTTTCCTCCACCCCGGGCAGCTGAAACTCACGCTACACTACTGACTTTCATACTTAATAACTAAATCCTGTGTTAAACCATCTGACTCCGATTCTGACCACTCTGACCACAGAAATTATTAGGCTTCAAACAGGGTGAACAAAATCATGCTCCACACACAGTCCAACATCCACACATATACAAAAAAACCTCAAATCTTTTGCATATCTTGAAATTTCAAGGTGTCCTGAGTCCAAAAATGTAAAAATTTGGGAGGGGTCATTTTTTGATTGAGCACTACACTTTCAGAAAGAAAAGTAACAATTATCGAATACATATTTATATATTACTTAGAGGAGTCTTTTAGCTTTGGAATAAAAAGTTTCAATGTTCTATCTTTATTAGAACTTTATTTATTGAATCTTTTATTCTGAGATCACGTGATGACATTAGAATTTCCCGGTCTCTTTCGGTAACATCCGCCTCTGGTCGGAGTTGGAGTCAGAGTCGGATGGTAAGGAAAAGTCGGAGTCGGATGGTAAGGAAAAGTCGGAGTCTGAGTTGGAGTCGTTAGATTTTTACACGACTCCACAGATTTGCATGTAACTAAAAAAGAGTTGTCATAAACTAAAACTTATATAAGGAAAGAATTCAATATATTTGGGTGCAATTAAAAGTGAATTTCACAAAATTTTTAATGCGTGGAATTGTCTTATAATTCCATTCATGAAAAGAATCAAATTTCAGTTATATAAAGTAAAGAATGTTTATGAATGAATATCATTTGAAATTGTAAATAATATCTTTAGTTTACAGTAAATAAAACTTCAAGATTTAACTGTTTTTTATGATATGTAGCTGATCAGCTGCAATCACAGACAACTTGAAACATCACCAAACTCCTTGTGCTACTTCTCATGAGTTCTGTTTTCATTTCTTTACCTAATACACACTAACATATCGCTTTAATTGAAATTCATTTTGAATTTTGTGAAATTAAAATATGTGAGGTTAGCCAACAGGGTGTGTTTGTCTGGATTGTCGCATGGTCACGACTATCGTGTGGAAATGGAAAAACTCTCTGAGACAGGCTTTCCATCTTTTAATCTGTTTATTATATTACCAAAAGTTTCTTACAACGTTTTGCAACGTTTTGTTGTAACACAGCTTGGGGAGCAAGTTAAAAGTCCACACAAGAGTCTGATGTTCAGTAGGAAGTTCTTCCTTCTGTCCCTCAATGACAGACATTGCAATCGATGGCCCCGGAGAATGCAACACAGCTTCGGGCAAAAGTCTTAGGAGAAGGGTGAATCTGATCAAAGCAAGACGTCATGGGATAGTGATGGTAAGTCCCAGGAGTCAACAAATCTGTCACTGCTGATTGGCAGGATCACAAAAATTCCTGAAATGGAGCATCAAGAACCAAGAATGCCACGTCCTTGAATCACACATATTTTATAAGTTTTACACCCAAAGTTGTCTTTTCATTGGTCTTTCATTGTCACCTGGTGATAATTCAAAACCTATCAGAGGGCGCAGGAGAGGTCAACATTGAAACTAAACCCGACTCCTCCGTAACTACGTTTTTCTCAACGTTGGTCTTTTCTATATGATTCATCTTTTGTTTTAATATTTTACAAAAAAACGTTCATTGTTCAACCAAGACCTTTAATTCTTCATGTTCATGTCTGAAAAGGAGATCTTTAATTTATCAATCAATAGTCCACATTCAGATCTCTAAGTCTACTTTCGCCCGGGACCTCACAAATATATAATTGATATACACTTTACTATTTTAAGGAAACTTACTAATTAATTAGTGTTTCACTTTAGTATACAAGGTTTGTTAAAAAAATAACTAAACTTTTTAATTTTTATTCTTTGAGTTATAGATTATTGGTCCTTGTTCCCTTCAAAGTACTCCCTCCCCTATTCACACACTTATCCCAGCAGTGTTTCCACTTTGCAAAGCAGTCCTGGTAAGCTTGTTTCGATTGTCCTTCAATGTTTGTGATGAATTTGTTTTAATGTCATCAGTTGTGTCAAAACAGCATCCTTTCAGCACTGATTTTAATCTTGGAAACAAGGAAAATTTGCAAGAAGCCAGATCTGGTGAGTAGGGAGTCTGGGGAGGGCAGTCATTTGATTTTTGACACAAAATTGGCAAGTGACAAGACTGAATGAGCAGATGTTGTCATGGTGAAGGAACTATGTGTTGTCTCACCACAACTCTGCAAATTTTTTCACACAATTGTTTCAAAACAGTTTTGTAGTACTGTCAGTTGACTGTTTGAGCTTGAGGCAAAAATTTAAAGTGCACAACTCTGATTTTCTGAATGTGTGTCATCAGTTGAAGTCAAAGGCTTTCCTGGTCGAGGGTCATCTTCAACTTTTGAATTGGGTAAATCATTCGTAACACTGTGTATGACCTAGAGCATCACCTCCATAAGCTTGATTCAAAATTTGAAATGTTTCCATAAAAGTTTTTCCCAATTTCACATAAAACTTCACATTGCATCATTGCTTTCATAAATCGCACATTGCAAAAAATTGCCATGAACACTGAAACACCTTTCACTCAAAAAACAATAACACAGGAATGAAACAAGATATCAACAATCAAAACAAAAGCAACTTACTCAGTAGGTTATCATGAACATAGTGTTGTCAATGTCACAACACTAGGACACTCCATTTTTGCCCAATTTAAAACGTTTTGTCATTTTTTGAACAGACGTCATATAATAGGAAATTATATATCTGTGAATTATATATTTCTATGAATTAAGTGATACATTTTAATAAACTTTTTAGTATACATATATATTTAAATTAATATATTTATATAGTGTTTAAGTAGAAAATTATTTATATTAATTTTCATTTATTAAAAGTATAATTTTATTTTCTAGATTGCACCAACTCCAAAGTTAGAAAATATCAGCAAATGTTCTTATAATTCCACTTTTGAAAATACAGAAACATTTTTAAACAATAAAATGTTGGATGTTATAACAATTTCTGATGATGAAAACTCTGATTCTATAAATATTTCCAATAATAAACCTGTATGCTATGATACAAGTAAGAATATTATAAAACATAAACAATACATAGGATTATAAGATTATTTCATACAATATCACATTGAATTTTGTATTTTATTTTATTACACATCTAATGTGTGTATCACAAATAAGTTGACTACTAAGTATCTAAATACTGGATTTTTGGACTATAAATAGGCTATAATAGAATTAACAAAAGTAAGAAATTTGGTCTAAAAATAGAGTTAGGCTGTCATCTTCTACTAGGTTTAATACTTATATTAAATTTAGAATAATTTGAATGTATTCCTGTAAATATTAACCACTAACTGAAAGGTAATTATAATAACCACACACTTTAATCACCTTGAAATTCCAGTAATAAACTTTAACAATAAACTAATGTTTTTAGCCATTTTAAATAGCAAACCACAGATTTATAAAAGATCCAAATTTCTAAATAACATTAAGATTTTAAAATGTAAATTAAACTTTATGAAATAAAATTTGAAGGGATTACATGTAGATTTTTTACATGAACTGTGTGATGTGTTCACTATCAGTTTGAGATTTACTGAATAAATTCACCTAATATTGTCCTTCCAGTTATTTGATATAAAGTAAACATCCTTGTAGTTGATTTGCCTTGGATTTGAAGTTGAATTTGTGTATTTGTAATTTCTCGAGGTGTTTCAATCTGAGCAAATCCCATGCTTGTTTTTAATAAATTGACATCTTCCAGGAAAATATCTATCATTTTGCATGGTAAAAGTTTCTGATGGGTTGTATTTTTCTTTATATAGATGGCATCTTTTTTGAGTATCATGTGGAGGGATTGTACTGTTGCGCCAATGTATTCCCATTCTTCATTGTGTGAGGTTGCCATATTGGGGATATCCAAATGTCAGGATTTATCATATGTGGGGTGAAGGAAGTAAGGCAAATAGCTGCATTGACAAACAAACCTGTTTATTTGTACTGTCTTACAATCTAGGAGTAGCATGCCATCCTTGGAAGCAGTGGAAGCGCCACTTTCCTTGTATTTTCTAAAATATAAATACATATTAATTGTGTGATTATTTTCATATTTTAACATACTTTGAATTAATTAAAATTAATATTTTATTATAACCACATTATGTATCTTATTACAAATTTCTACACTACATGTGAAAAAACAATAAGATTGCTATTGTATATTCTAATGTCAGTGGCAGAAGGGAAGTGCTGTATTGTCAAAACTGGATCAGCGTCCAAGCAGCCAGATTATACGCATTCACGCATGTGCTTTACAGAGCACCAACCTCACGTGGTTTAGCTGGTGGATGCTACACACCAAAACATCATATAACACAGGATATTCCAATGATTCTATCCAGGACTGGTTACATAATGCCTCCAATGAATCTATGCAGGACCGGTAGAGTTCCACTAGGGTTGTCAGCGGCGTTGGACGTGTGTGTACTTCACTCTGATTTTGGTTACCTGCATCAACGTTATTACTGCTAAATCACAGATTTGATGTATTGCATTCTGTTACTGATGCCTTCCGATTGTTTTTAACGTTTATTTTGTGTAAATTGGTTGAGTATCTGCTGAATAACGGTTGTTTTTAGACCACAACCACGTGGCTTCATAATACACATTTCAGGTTGCACTTTCTTCACAAATCATTTATCTTAAAAAGAAAAAGTTTAATATATGTCGTGGATAAGAGCTACTATAGAGTACACGTGCCTTAAATTTCATTATAAATCAAATTTTCTTTTTCGATGATTTACGGCGACCTGAACTTTTGCGTTTCGTAGGCTTATGGCAGGACACCTGCTTCCATGAGCCAAGTGCTGGGTTTCACGTTTGGCACTTTTTTGCTATCTGTTGCAATGTTTTTGTGTAGTTTTAAACACTATTTATGGAATTATGATTATTTCTCTTCAGAAAACTGAACAATAAATAGCCTTTGTTCCCACTGTCGTAACCAACCCTAACCTGAGCCATCCTATTCGAACCTAATTCAGTAAGTTGCACGTGACTGGTTTTCGGCTTAAATCTTTGGTTCAATGCTTCAAAAAAGGTTCATTTTTGTGTGCACATCATTGGACTTGTCTCCCCCATAGTTGTCATCAGCAAGCCCGCAGGCTGTGCTGACCTTCTGTTTTCGACTCTTCCTACTGACCTTGTACTTAACTGACTGTTCTGTGTTGTGCCAAGTCCCCACAATGGATACTACACCTGAACCTCAAGCGCTTTCTAACTCGCTCAAAGACACTATCTTTGGCGAGGCCAACGAACAGTTAGTGACAATTTTGGGCCTTTTACCAGAATTGTATCGAATACACTTGAAAAGTGAAAAACGTCATGAGATCAGGGAAAAAGTGACACAGCTTTTCTCATCTTTTAAACAACTTCATGGAATTCTAAAAGAGGTTAGATCCAAACAAAAACAAACTATGCCATTGGCGTCCTGCCACACTGAACCGACCTATGCTGATATTCTCTGTAAAGACCCAAGTATACGTCCAAGCTTGACCACTAAGGCAATCTCTTGCTCTCTAGCTCATAAAATAAATAATGAAGGAACAAAAGGCAGTTCTGCCCTTCTACTGTACCCTAAAAACAAACGAGGAAGGAAACTCAACTGACATGAGGAAAATAAAAAATAATATTAAAAAAAAAGATAGAGCCCCAGAAATTAAATATAAAAATTAAAAAAGTAAAACAAATAAAAAAAAAAATTGAATTTGCTTTCAGACAGATACTCAGAAAGAGGCTGAGGTCCTGGCAAAGGCTATCAAGGATATCCCTGATATATCTGAAAACATACAAGGTAAAATTTCCGAGGGAAGGCGGACTAGGATCATCCTCACAAATGTTCCTAATTCAATAGATGAGTCAGATATAATTTCAATAATCTACAGCCAAAACAAACTATTTGAAGCAGTATAACAGCTTGACATAGGTTAGCACCATCCTAAATAAAAAAACTAAAGAAAAATGTAGTCACGTGGTCCTTTTGACCACCCCACAAATAAGGGACATCTTCATCAGGACTAAACACATAGCAATGTCATGGGTGAACATCTATGTGAATGATTATATCCCGCTGGTAAGATGTTACCAGTGCTGCGGATATAATCACCTCTCCACCAGCTGCCCACAGAAGCAAAAATGAAGCCACTGTGCGAAGGCACATAGGTTTGGTGATTGCCAAAGATTAGATCACCCCCCATGCTGCACCAACTGTAAGGCAATTAATAAAGAACTCCCAGACTACCAGAGATATGACACCAGACATAATGCTTTCGACCCACAGTGAAGACACTATCAAACTGAACACACAGTTTGATAGTGTCTTCACTGTGGGTCAAAAACTATCAAAATGACGACACAGACATTTTTTTTATTCATTCATTTTGATGGTCATCATTTCCCCTTCTGGGGATCAGAATCATCCTTGTCCCATTTACACATCACAAGGAAGACGTTACTTTTATTCAAACATGACTTAATTCATTACAATAACACTCTAAATAAACAGCAAATATAAGTAAGAACTTAAAAGCTATTACAAACTACTTGTCTAGCTTGACAAGGAAGACCGTAGTTTCCAGTCTGTAGGTGATAGAGACGGCTTTCTCTAACACCTTTACAACAGTATCCTTCTGATGAAGGTCTTTAATTCTTTCATTATGTTTTTGTCTGTTATAAGGTTATAGATTTCAAGAGCTTGGTTGCCAGTATTTAGTTGATGAAGGCTTGAAATTTCAGTCCTTTCTCTTTCATATTTAATACAATCAATGAGTAAGTGGTTTATGTCTTGTTTGTCCGTTCTGCATTCACAAGTTTCAGTTTGTTGTTTACCTATCCTCTTAAGGTAGGAGTAGCAATTGTAGTGTCCCGTGTAGAGTTGTGTAATCTTAGATCTTAGATCCGTGTAGCCATCTTAGATTTGTTATTCGTTCTTCTATATTTGGCATAAGCCAGAATGTATTCCTTCCGTTTTCGGAGTAAGACCAACTGTCCTGCCATTCCCTGATAGTTTCGTTTCTGATTAGTCTTTTAATACCCGATATCAGTATTTTATTATAAGTCACATCTGTCATATGCACGGCCTCTTTGGCCAAGAGGTCCGCATGATCATTACCTTTTATGCCACTGTGGGCCTTAATCCATCTTATCTTAATATCAGCGTCACTGTCACTTATGATTTGTTTGATTTTAAGAGCCATCGTGTTGGTGTCGGTGAATTGCATAAGTGTGCTCAAGGCGGATTTGCTATCTGTATTAATTATAATTGTCCTGATCATTTGGGTTCTTGTCACCCATTCAATTGCCTTTCTTATAGCATATATTTCAGCTTGATAAACCAAACAAAGGTCATTTAACCTGTAATGCTCAATATGTATTTCGGTGTTATCTTGCATCGCTGTGAAGGCTGCCCCAACACAGCCGTCGTGTCGACTTTTGAGCCGTCCATATATAGTTCTACCAAGCCTTGTTCACCTTCTTCAGCCATTTCTATACTTCTCCGGCTGTGTGGCATGGGCAGCATAGCTGCAGTGGGTCTTAGATCAATATCTGTTTCAGAATATTCTGTCCTTGCTATTTGTATGTTATGTCTCCTCTTGCACGTATATAACATCGCTTTTTCTTTTAATATTAATTCTATGGGTGGTGCCCGGCCTCCACTTGAAGTGCTTCAGTTGATGTGGTTGAATAAGCATGTGTTAATCGTAGGAGCGCACACCTTTGCGCACTCTGAAGCTTTCTTTTTATAACTTCCTTATCGGCTGCTTGGTGCCATGCCGCTGCTTCAGGATGAATGCGCCTTTATAAATTATGTCGATGGCCTCTTTATTTAGCCCCCCATGTGGACTTGGCCACCCGAGCAAGTGCATTGAACAGGTTAACACACCTATTCCTAATTGAGACCATGTGCGGAAGCCAAGTTAGTCTGTTGTCCAGCATGACTCCAAGGTACTGGAGTTGCCTCTCGACCTTTATGGTCTCGTTGTCCATCTTTATTGTTGGAGTACG